CTCTTTCCCCCACCCACCCAACATTTTTCCTAATCAAATGGTATGAAAATAATTATTCATAAAATCTAACAGTCACAACAGTAACCACAGATAGGTCATTATGTCTGAAAGATACATTCACATTTTGCACAGCATGAAACATACAAACTTTTTTTTTTAAAAAAAAAACTTTTAAGGATGATACAGATCTTCATAACCCAAAGTAAAAAAATTAGCAGTTTTAGATTTTTTTTTGGCCATATAAAAATATTTTAAGGCCATTTATACCACAACAGGTAGAAACATTTGAATGAATGCTGCAGTAAGGCTTCAAAGCTATTCTCTTTCCCAATGAGTTTTTTATTACCACTATTATCTGCTTTCAAGAAGTCAAAAAAAATGATTAGCTGACAGCCAATTATCACTGAATAGTTACTTTGTTTCAATTTTTTCCCATCACAACTGCTTAGTACATTAAAAATCAGCTTAAGTCAATGCAGATTTTGAAGAGACCTATTATTCTTGCCTGTACCTGTAATCAAAACAATAACGAGAGACAACCAGTAAGTATCCCCCACGCATAATTGTGGTATAAATGGGTCTTCCGAACTCAAACTGCTTTGGCAACTTCATGTAAGAATATTCCACTATGTGACATACCAACACTACATAATGTTGCTACAAACTCTATTACTGCTTTCCCTCAGGAAAAAAAAAGGGGGGGGGGCAAATGCTATTTTCATTTACAACTTGACTATGAAGATTTATTTCAATAGAATGGATGAATCATTTTAATTTTTAGACATTAAGTGCTTAGCTTAAATTAACCTTCCAACTAGCCAGCATCACAGCTAATAAACTTGTCATATGCAAGTTAAAGCATATTCTTTCCTAAATAATAAAATTTTCATTGCAAATGGCTTAAAACAAAACTGAGATTAAAGCTATCTTATTACTGTCTTTCAGTGTCTCAGATCTAGAGATTCTTGTAAGATTCACTTCTTCACTGAGGGATAGTATTGATTTAAGCATCAAATCTAGACATATAAGTAACAGGGCCACAGGCCATCTAATATTATTTTGTTTTCTAAAAATATTTAAAACTCTATCTTCCATTTGGCATTGTGTTTTTTTGCTTATTACTAATTCATTAGCCAGGATTTCACTTTGCCTGAATCCCTTTTCACTTAATACTTCATAGGTGATCTCTTTCTAACATCCATAGAACACAGTATATTATATAATATAATTCTTCAATAGTTAAAAACTTTTTCAGTGTAGAACTTTCCATTTTAATTCTATGCTCTATATAGCTTATAACAAAATTGACTGGATAAAACAGTTTCAGGAAACCGATACAATAAGTTAAAACTTTTAAATACAGGGCACAAACTTATGTTGCTGCAGGGCAGTCAGAGAAGTGACTGACTTTTTTTCTTACAGTATATTAAACCGGACATTTTATTTCAGACTTGTTCTTTCCTGTACTGGAAAAATATTAAAAATGGGACTATATATGTACCCTTAGAGTGAGCTCAGATACTGCATCAGACAGACATTTGTTACAAATGTGCTACCTAAATAAGAGGCAATGCATACAAACTGTAATTTTGCACAAACAGAACAAAATGACTGGGTTCATGAAAGAATTAAAGTTTTGGGACAACTTGATAGCGTTCTCTTCCCTTTGCCCCCTCCCCAAACTATTAACAAAAAAAAAAAAAGGCAGACCTGTACGAACATGGCTTGAAATCAACTATGAGGACTTAAAAAAGATAACTGGTTAGCAGATAAGGGAATTGAATCACGTCCGATTGCAAATTTAACTTAAGTATCAGTGCTATGAAACAATTACGTTCTAATTGAGTAAGACAGCTATTCTCAATAAAAGGATAAAACAAAGTATCAGCTTCCAAAGACCTAGTAGCATTTCATGGTAAGCTGCTAGTTAGTGACTAGTTGAAAGGACTGAAGGAATGTGTCAGGTTTTTCCACATAATTACAACACAGCAGCAAACAATGCTCATTCATTAAGTTGGCAGAGGTGCTTTTGCTACTAAGAGTAGCATGCAGGTACTTGTATAAGAAAAGAGGGAATGGTATTTCCATGACCCCTTGCAGTAACGTATTCCAAGCACCAAGGGCCGTTTTCAAAATCTGAACCCATTAAGATAAATATGACAGGACAATACCACCCCCACAGAACCATGAGTGCCTTTTCACTGGATGTACGCTGTAAGTCTCAAGGCACTTAAGGGGTTAAGACATAATGCATGCACTAGTTCCCATCACGTAATCTTAAGTCACATGAATCAGAATACACCAGTGTATGACACACAAGTTGTGTCAAAGAAATGCTGTTTATTATTATTTATTTATTTTACAAGATGCTGGTAAGTGGGCATTATGCAGCTACTGCTGGGTTAACACAGATGCCAGCTTTCCTCTAACAACCAGCTGGTCTCTAATAAGGGTGTAGGACAAAGTGTGCTGCATCAGTAGGCAGTGTGTATCTATCTAGTATTGGCAATATTGCTAATGTTGTAAAAAACAAAAGTGAGAGTCTGTACATAGTAAATAAACCTAGCACTGGAAAAGACCATGGCTTAGTGTATTTTTTCTTTTTTTTTTTTTTTTTCCTTTAAAGAGACATGGGTGTAAAACAGAGTGAAATAATTCCAAGCCTTGTTTGTAGCAATTCAACCAGAAGCGCAGTATATGGCACTACAACGAAATATCGTAGATTACCCTGAACACAATTAGTTCTTTCAGTTTATGGTATGTTCGGAGCAAAGCATGAAAATAAAGTCTTCAAACACATGAAGGTTAGAAGAGTTTCAGAGACTGATTTTGTTTCAACGTAAAGTGCAACAGTGCTGAAGTTTTCAAAGTCCTTTGTCAATTCTTTGCTGTACTTCACTATTGTTTCCTGCAAGCAGTATTATGGCACAAAGAATGCTGCCAGTTCATTAGAGAGGACAGGATTCTTCAACTGATATCCTAGCTTTTTTGCTATTTATTTATGCAGTGACGCTTTTAGAGGCTTAACAAATCCTTCTTCATACACCTTCAAAATAGCTTCACATACAAATCTGTATTGACTCTGGAAAAAAAAGTAGATTCAGTTGATTGAAAAGAAACATAATGGAACGATGTCATGCGGAAGCAAAAAGGGTCTCTAAGATTTCCCATCCCGTTCATCTGATGGGTCAGAGCTGTGCTTCAAAGATAGTTCAGAACACACAAAACAATAAGGAAGTTATATTAGAGCATCTTGTTTCTAAACAAAAGAATGGAATGAAAGGCATTTGAAAATACATGCCAAAAGTCATATCCACAAAATCACTCCTATTCCGACAACACCACCTATTTAGGAATTTTTCTGCCCTTCATTTCCTTAGTCAAGTTTCACTAACCTAATGTTTCCATGCACTTGGATTTGGAAGCTATAATATCAAAGTAGTTTTACCCTTTTACATTAATTCTGGCATGCTACTGTCACCTCTTTCTCAAAATTTGAGAAAAAAAAGAACATTGTTTCATGTTTTAAAAAACTAGACTCCTAGCTGCTTAGCATTACAGAGTGTCTCAAGTCTAACAGCTCCATACATGAGGTCACTAACACCATGTTTTAATCAAGCAACAGTTAAAAAAACCTCACAGTAATCAAAATAGACCATCATAAAATGAAAATGAAATAAAATTATGATTTTGCCAAGTGCCATGACTTCGCAAGCGCGTAATGGTGTATATGCTGGTCAGAAAGCTAGCATTCCTGTCTTTTCATGTCTTAGAATATCCCGATCTATGCAGTCACTGTTGATGTCAGACCTTGAATGGGCATAGTAACAGATTTAGTAATACAATCGTTATGGACTCCATTGCTGCATGTATGTTAAAATAGTTAAATTTATACACGTTTTAATAAAATACGTATTTTGCCCCCAGTATTCCCTGAAGGATCTTTTCTCAACTCTCTTCACATAGGAGAGAGGAGACTTGCACATAGAGCCATCTTGTGGACATTGGCTGAATCTTTTTGGATACGCAAAAGTGGGAAGAGATAGCTTAAGGAGATATACTAATAATGGCTCATGTTTATGAAACCTCTTAAAAAAAATTGAGTCTTTTATCCCTTCTCCCTCTAATGCAGTAAACACCTATGCTTCACTGAAATTAGAAACTCCTGGTTTCTCCAAGAAGAAAATGAGAAGACCAGAAGGTACTTAGCACATGCAGGAAAAAATAATAGTTAAATCTCTTTCCTGGTGCCACCACCTCCCTTTACTAATAAAACTCTCTTCCTCTCTACATGTGCTAGAGACATGTAGAAATTCATGTTGTACAGTCATCTCAAAGAGCAAGACCCATCCTTTATTCTTCTTCATGTATCATCACCATCTTTCCTGCCCTAGCTGCATTGTAAAACATGTTGTTTAGTTCAACATGAATACCGGATAGCAGCATTAAAACTCTGGACGACCTAGAAATGGAGGCCCACGTATACTTTTTGTGGACTTTTTGGTTTTTCCTCATCTTGCACGTTTCTGTGTTTGTGTTTTATACTACTGCCATTCTTAACTCCTGGAATTCAGCTCCTGCATTCTCCAGGGAGTAATCTGTACACTACTGAAAACAGGCCATTTTTGACATTAATTGCCAGGTGTCCCTGACAAAGCTGCTGCTTCAATCGTGTTTTCTTTGGAGAAATTTAAAGAACTGCTCTTTTTCAACTGCCCTAGCAATTTATTTCTGCCTAGAGCCAAGGCTGCAGCTACACTGGGCCAAGGTGTCCTCTTTGAAAAACAACCAACAGCGATCTAATGAAAATATGTCTAATGATACAACTACATAATATGAAATTATTCTTCTACAACATAGAATAGCCAGTATGATACTCACAGGTGTTTGGATCATCATGGCTCTCTGATCTCTCATGGTTCTTACAATATCTAATGGATAAACAGGCTGATTGCATTCAATGAGACACATAGCTGTCTCCATAGTGATAAGAACTCCTGTCCGTCCAATCCCAGCGCTGTAAAAACAACCAAAAAACCCCCAAACAAAAAATGAAATAAAAAAGCAACTCGACTATAGTTCACACTTAAAGAACACGTACACTTAAATAAGATGTACACTGTACATTCTGAGTCAATTTGACCATTGCTGGAATGAATGTTACTGGAACGTCAGGCTGACTTGATAAAGCCATTTATACATCCTTACAGTGATCCATACCTTCATATTTGAGAATAAGGAACAGAACAATCTTTAGAAACCTTTGGAGGATGAGAATAACAATCCTTTTCTTACTATTAAAAAGTATTAGAGAGATCCAGCTTCTGCAGATTGAAAAATCTCTAGGAACATGTAAGAACAATTCCTTTTAAGAAAAGGAAGCACTGTAACACATACATTTCAGAGTAGCAAAATTGTTAAGAGCGCTTATAAGAATCATCCTTAGCTTAAAAACAGAACAATCCTAAAGATTTATCTTCATTGTTGTACATGTAAACACTCTTTTTCACAAGTAGGAATAATCCTCAAAGACTGAACTTTTTGCCTTGAACACGAATATCAGCTTGTTTCAAATTCAAATTTTTCACATTCCAGAAAACCGTGTTGCAGTTTTGAAATAGAAAACACTTCTTCATATATGAATAGAAGACGAAAATCCATATTTTCAAATGTCAGCATTATCTCAACTGAGACAACTAATATTTCAGACGATAAATGAAAGCGTTTCCTTCTAAATAAGTTAATAAATTATGAACACTCTGAACCTTGCCTTTCAACTCATTGTTCTGATTTTGAAGTATAACTCCAAATCAACTCTGATCCAAGTAGTTCTTTAAAACTCTGACCAGAAGGTGGCATCAAAGCTATTATACATATTTCCATGAGGTCAAAAGAATTTTATGACAAGCTGTAAATGTGCTAGTTACATTAAAATTACTAAATAGGATTTTATACTTCTCGATTTAACCTACAGAATTTATATGCTGAATGCGCTATCAAAGCAATACAGGAGCAATATTTGTCAAAAAATAATATATGGATGCATTACAACTTGAGAAGATTCAGAGAACGGTAACAAGGATGATGAAAAGTGTGACACAGTTTCCATATGATAAACAGCAAGTAGGCTGGGACTCTTCAGCTTGGACAAGAAACGACTCATGAAGGAGAACGCTGAGACATGGCACGTCAGGGTGGGTGGCTAACCATCTCTTCCAGTACAACAATTAGAAACTGTCAAACTAAACTGTTAAAAAAAAAATTAAGATGCAAATATGCGGAACTTTTTGCCACAGGAATGCAAGAACGCATGAGCTCAGGAACAACAGAAAGGTATTTGGAAAAGCAAAGCACTGTGGTTACTAAATAGACAAACCATACCCAGTTCAGAAACTTCTTCAGGTTGAAAATAGTTGGAAGCTTGGAAAGTAAGAAGGCAGAAGCACCACGTAGCCTTGTTCTGCTCTTACTTTTCCTGAGACAGCCGCTTATGATCTTTGGTGGAAGCAGAACACCGAATACATTCGCCCTTGGTTGGACTAAGAATAGTTGTTCCTTGAAGAATATTCTTTGCTGTACTTTTTCTTTACAGGATTAGTGAAAAAGGTATCCTACTACAAATAAAATTGACTAATGCTTACAGTAAGATTAACTCACTTCCAACGGTTGTCATCTTAGTACTCTTTAACAATGATAAAGCAGAAAAAAAAAGTTATTTCTTGGGTAGTCACTGATTTGTGAAAAGCTAAAAGATCAATACACTAAAGTTTCCTTTTCCTGTTCAGATATGTTGACTACAAAATGTTTTAAACTACTCTTGGTTCATCTAGACTATACATTAGTAGCACTGAGAAGTAAATGTGATGAGAAAAGCAGTAATCATCTTGACACTTCTCAAACCCAGAAAGCAGAAACTCAGAGTTCTTATTTTGCTGTTTTTCTACATGGCATTGATCAAGACGATTGAGATGACCTCAGATTGGAAAACTAGTGCTTTAAGTAGTTTAACATAAAAAAAAAAAAAATCTTTTCAATTTCTTAAGAGATTGTTGCTTTACAATCTCTACTCTCTCTCTGTTTTTTTGAACTCCTACCTACCTGGATTTCCCATATTAAAACTGGGGGCTCTCTCTCAAGCTCAGTTCTGAGAATAAGTTTCAGTGTTTTGTTGCCATAATGCTTTGCCCCATTAGCCTGAACATCTGTTAAAAATAGTGTGCACGCACAATGTGGAATCCCAGGGCTCCTCAGCTTGACTCACTAGTGGAATTTGATTGTGTTTCCCAGAAGTTACTGACTTCTGGTTGGTCAAATGGATAAATTATGGGGTAGTGTGATACTCCCTCGCTCTTCTTCTGTGAAGCATAAAACCGTTATGCATTGAAGTTATCAGTGTGGAACGAGCTGATACCTCACTTTAAAGTTGTTATTCCAGTCTCTGCAGACTTGCACACTTTGCATTGCATTAATTATATTTGACTGATATTTTAGCTGTTTTCTTCGCAGCCGTATCAACTAAAAACATCCTTTGATAATGGAAGTTGAGGAAAAAAAAGTAAGACATGGGCATTCTGGCACTGGTTTCCCTAGTTCATAAGATTCACCCTGACCAGCACAAGCAGGGCAGAAAGCAAAATCAGTTAAACGCAACTTCTGGTGTACAAAGTAAACGTTTAAAACAGACAACATTTTTCGATAAGCCTGCTTCAATAAATGCCTGGTTTACTTGTAGATTAGATAATGTTTAAACTGATTTTATCCCTTAAACTTCTCAGTTTTCTGTAACTGAAACAGGAAAAACGCACATCTGACTCAGGAATATTAACTGGATAGTACTCAAAGTTAGAGGTCAAATTTTCACTGAAATACTAACCAAGAATTGGTGTAGTGTATGTTCATCTGAAGACATTTGGCATTGCTCATTATTTTAGCTTACTTAATCAGGTATTTTAAGGATTAATATTTTGAAATCTACTATAGGAATGCAAAATGCTTTTAAAAACTCAAGAACAGCACATACAAAAACATGTTTCAGGTGTACACGCAAATCTGGGTAACAGTTATATTAATTCATGAAAAAAGTAAACCGTTGAGAAAAATGTGTGATCTTAATGAATGCATCTAAACATCTTGTAGCATGAGAATCTGCAAACCTTAGCGTCTTTTATTTCATTATTCCATATGCAACTCGTATTTCCTGCTATGGATTATTTATCTGGCTCTTCTAGAGCTCTGCAGAAATAGTTACTATAAGAAAAGCAGTTTCCTAAATGCCTTTTGCCATCTCCCTGAATATTATACAGACTTTCACAAGCATTTTACTTAAGTAACAGATCAATGCTTGTAGACAATCAAAATATTTGCTTATCAAAACGTGATTATCGTGTTAAGAAAAAGTAATTGCTTAATTTTTATATTGAATTCTCCTGTCCTCCCTGGAGGAGAGACACAACTAGATATTTACTTGAACAAAGCACAGAAAAAACTATTTGATGAAAAATAGAGTTTGACGATTTAGGAAAGTTGGAAAGAAATGAATACCTGCAATGAACGACAACAGGTTCTTCTCTGCCAGCCCTCTTCTTTCGCACAAGACACACAAAATCTAGGAAATCACTCGAATCATCAGGAACCCCATGATCAGGCCATGCTATATACTGAATTTGAGTTAGTTGGCGGCTTTCCTCTTTCTGATCAGCAGCACAAAATTTGTTCAGGGTAATTCAGGTTCCATGGGGGAAAAAAACAATAATTAAAAAAAAAAATCAATTGTACACTTATAACAAGTGGTGCCCTTAATACAGGTGGCTTCAGGCAACTAACAGCACTTTATTAATGTCAATTATTGCTCATCCTGGATTTTATAATTACACTTTTTTCTTGAAAACAAAACAAACGTAGCAGAATTTGTAATAGGCAACCCCAAAACATTTTCATCTACAACAGGTTAAAAGAATGCCACTTTATGTAATAGCAAAATAGTTCAAGGATACAAAAGGTCAATCTGACCACTAGATACACAGGAAGAATATAAATCCCAAATTTTAACAAAGCAATTTAAACAAGAAGAGGTAATATCGTGGGGGGGGGTGGTTGGGGGGGGGGGGGGGGGGGGGGAGAGATGGGCCTTTCGGGCAGGTATAAAAACCCTCCTTCAGACTCAGTGTGAACAGCAGTATTGTTTTGGCCTAATCTGCACCTCTAATTTTATCCAGCATACTATACACACTCACAGCAAGCGCAGAATGACTTAGTTTTCCCACTCCTTCCTCTTCCCCCCCCACCAGGACCCAAAAAGTCACAAACAATCTGCCTCTGATTATTGGAGCGGACAGGCAGTACAATCTGTGTAAAAGCAGCATTTTAAACAACAGGCTGCTATTAAATTCCACGGGTGATATTAAATGAGCAACTGTCTCAGCAGCACGCAGGAAAGGACTTTTAGCTGCAAACTGACTACAAGGCAGCTCTGTAAAACTAACACCTAATCTGGAAATCCAAGCAGTGAGAAACAAGTAGGTGAATTAAATTCCAGATACCCATTTCCAAGAATTCCTGACAGTGAAACGCTAGCTGGGGAAGCTGTGAAAGTTGCACTTGTCCTGAAAACCAGATCATGCTTGTCCTAGAAGGCCCTTGTTTACATCTAGTAGCCAATCCTAATTCATTGCGCTTCAGCGGGATTTATCTTCAATCTACTTGCACACAGGCTGCAGAGACTTCAAGCTGGAATTAAGAGGTGTTTGCCTCTAGAAAAAGAGGCTTTCCGTAGCAATAATGAAACACCTCCAACCCCTGGTGTTCTGAAAATATGAAGGGAATAACAAGTTTCTCAGCTTCTTTAATTACTCTTTTTCTTTGGCAAGGGCATTAAAGGCACCAATAAAGATTTTTTTTCAGATAAATATTAACATATTTTTAATGTCATTCAAATCAATTAATAGGATTACAGAAACCAAATCCTGGCGATTTGGCCAGTAAGCACATTTTGCCAATGAAAAGTTTATCATTCTGAAGAGCAGAATTTATATGAGGTAAGTACCTGGCCGTAAGACTAGTTTCTACAGTCTTCTAGAAACAATCAGTTCTATTTATGTGGATATCTCATCAAGCTGAAACGAAAGTTTGACTAGGTATTTAACACTGAGGTTTCCACAGATGAAGTTTAACAAAATATATTATGATTTTACCTCCAGGTTAGTCAGTGTCATTTCTCGAAAGACGTAAGCAGGATTTCCTTCTTCTAAATGGCAGGTAATCTGGAAATTCCCATATGATGAGCTTCCTGATGGCTCTGGCCAGTACTGATGGCATTTAACCTAAAGTCAACACATTTTTAAAGAAGTGCGTGTTTAGATTCACAGAGTATTATTTTTATTCTCCCTAGCTCTTTATACATTTATTCAGTAAAGACTATTTTATCACTTTGTAATTACTGTTAACTTACTTACCAAAAAGACTGTTATTTAATTATTGCTTATGAAATAAGGTATCATGGAGGCTTCCCGTTTCTCTCCTCAACAGGACACAGGCACCAGCTCTTGAGGTTAGTATAACTGAAGACGGGTGCCTCTAAATTTCAGTACAATTTCTAAAGCATACATTTATAAAATATTTCGTCTCAACACTCGAGTGGCAGAGGAGCTGCTCTACAAACATTTCTGAACTCTAAAATCCTAAACTAATCCTCTCAAAGCACACTTATATGAGAAAACTTATGAAAAGAAAAGGAAGGCAATATGCAAAACGTAAGCTGCTAAACTAACGCAGAAACAGGGATGGTAGATGGTGGACTTCAAAGACTTCTGATAAAGTCATCAAATGTAAATACAGACTTTAAAAACTAAGACTTTATAATATATTTCTTAAATGCCTAACTAAGGAGGTCATTTCAGCTCAAGTGTACTCTCATTTTTCAAACCCACCTGGCGATTCTTTAAGAGCAGCCAGATTTGCAGACTTCCTGCTCCACTGAGACATCCTGGCATGCAGTGGGATAGTGATGTCAGTAGCCTCATGATCAGCTTTAGAGCAGGGAGTCTGCCTATGGGTATAAGACAGATAAGTCCTTTTATTTCAATATTTAGCAGGTCTCCAAAGAGCTCCACAAATATTGTTAGTGAGGGGGTGGGGAAACCTCAGAGAACTGCTATTGCAAGTCTGTTCTTAGCAGATCTGCAAAGAAAATCCAAATAAATTAAAAGGGCACTTGTACTGAAACTCCCTCTAATAATTTTTATTTGGGAGCAGGCAGAATCATGCCAATGTTGAGTCACTGAAAAATGGTTTAAAACCATTACAACTCCCCTTTAATTATTTTAATTATATTTAGAGGCCTGACCTCCCAGAGCAAATACATGGTTATTAAAAAATTTTAGAATATATACAGATAGTTGAACTGAAGTCTGAACTGATCAGAGCACCCATAACCTTCTATAAATCCATCATCAAAAGAAATTCGAAATTAGGAGAAATTCCATCAAACTCTTGTTTCAGTCTGTCACTTCTGTCCACACACACAACCATCCAGTGCTACTGTGAAAGCTCCAGACTATAAACCTGGTAACTTTGAAATTACATGGTATATATGACCAGATATGATTGTTTTGCCTGTCCCTAAAGAACAAAGACTACACAATGAATCAAGATACTAAGGACAAACTACAGATCGTGGGGTTGAGGTTGGGCACGGAGGAGGGCTGAAGCCTTTTATACCACTATACCACCACACACTATTTTTAGTGCTTCACATTTCCTTAACTCTGTCATTGCTAATACTCCGTACTTCTACAGGTTTTACTGTGAAAGAGATTTAAGAAAGGACAATGCTTTAATATAATTAAGCAAATATCTATAACCACAGAAGCACATTTTGTGAAAGATTTTAGATTTTCATCTTACCAGGTACTCTCTTGAAGAGAGCCATCACATAAGGCACGTGATCTTAACACTACAAAGATGAATTAGGTTGCCTTAAAGAATTAACCTATACATATCAAAGAACTACTCTACAAAAACTGATGAAACTTCTTTAAGTTTCCTCGTTTGAAGTTTAGACTAAAAAATCTTAAGTAAATTCTAGTTATTTTTTCCTTCACAATAAAGATTCAAATGAAGAAACCTATAAATACTTTAAGAAATACATGAAAACTTCAAGGTATTTGAGCTCTGAACACAGTTTTAAGATAAACTACATTAACAATATCAAAACGTTTAAAACGCAGGAGCTGTGACTGCAACAGTACTAAGAACACACTGCCATTAAAAAAAAAAAAAAAAATCATCATATAAGCATAATAACAGTATCTTCCACTAATCTTCTAAAGGGCAATCACCAACAGACTTAAAATACTATCCAAGTGGTATTTAAGGAAATCTTTTACTTACTCTGCCCCGTTCAACTTGGGTAGTTAACATTACAACCATAGATGAGCCCTGTTCCCAAGTCATCTGCCAAAAATCAGGACAAGTGTTTGGTAATGGACCTTGACAAGCAATGTACTGGTTTATTATTGTGGAGGAAGGGATTTCCATCTAAGAAGAGAAAAAAAAAATCATTATTTTAATCCTTACAGAACTTCATTCTCATGACAAACGTAACTTAGGTATCAGAGATATAATGTTGACTGAATATGTACACAATAACGTGGAAAAAATCATCAACCGTATTAATTCTATTTACCACAAGTTTGTCAATTTGAATTGACACAGATAAAAACGCTTTAAAAGCGCTTCTCACTGAAAACTGCTACAAAGATCCAAGTGCACTTCATATCTTAACCATCAGTTATTTAGTTGCTATGAACCCATGCAATCAAGATTAATAATTAAAAAAAAAGAAATATGCAAGAAAATGACAGAACAGCTTGCAAATGATCTAAGGGTAAACATCTCATACTCTTTAGCTTTTAAATACTACTCTCTGAATTTAACTTCTGTTTTCTATTTCTGAAAGGAAAGGTAAGTAGCTGTACTTTTTTGTTGCTACTGACAATGAAAGGGATGTTGCAGTAAGTTCTTTCAGATTACATTTTACTGAAGTTGAACATTACTGTCACAATGTGCAACCAGAAAAGTGCAATGAGTTCCTCCATTAGATGGATAATTTCTCCCAGGGTTTTCTTTTTTGTTTCATTTATAAAAACACCTGTAGGTACCATGTAGCATTAGCAAATAAGTAAATCTACACTAAATGTCAAGTCATCTGATTATAGGGTTTTATCAATCATTCTAGTCTATATCAGATGCATTAACATTTTGCTCTTAATTTTGATTTTTTAATTGAATTTTCCACTGAAAAACTACAAAATTACTTAAGGTTAGAAGTGCTTGTTAAAGTACTACTCACATTTATATAATTTGCATTGATGTAATCTTCATTACTTTTTAAAATAACCCGTGTAGCATCATCTGAAAAAATTTTTTAGAAAGATGTTACTTATTTACTAACGACAATAAAATACTTTTAAAAACACATACACAAACACACATACTTACAAGGCGAAATGTCTCTGTATCTATTTTTGGAAATGTTTTGAGGTAATTTGGCACAAGACATTGTCATTCCAGGCTTTTTCCTATACAATTGCTAGAAAACAAAAAACATGGTCAGATCGCGATAGATGCAAAAGACTCCTTAGTATATTACTGCCTAGAGATATGTTCTAGAACAGAAACCACTGAACAGACAAAGAAAGCTTCAATGAACATAGAAATATTTTTCTACTCAACAGCCAATGCTATACGAATTTAGTTCTTCTATGGGATCACTGAAAATAATCAGAATATGGAGGCACAATTTGTTTCAAAGATAAACTGAATGTTAAATCTAGAGCCTCCATAAAAACACTGATCTGGACAAAAGTCAGTATTATATACAGCTAAAGGAGTTAACCCATGCTAACACTCCACACAACGGTTTGGGGCTCAAACACAGATTGTGTTGTGTATAGACTCGCTAGCTACACTGCAGTTGCTTCACAATTTGCTTCAGGTCTCCTTCTGTTCTTCATTAAGTGTACAGCTACAGTTCATATATCATATAGCTACAGTTCCTCTCCATTTTCTCCTGCACAAAACCTGCTTTAAGAGGTTTCCACCCTTTCATGCCTTGACTATGCATTGCCACAACCCTTGTGCTGCAAACGGTATCAGTGAAGCGATCCAGACTAATGAGAAAAGCACTTTGAAAACTTTTAAAGTTTAAATAGTCTATTTTAGAGCAAACTCCTAAAAGAGGTGAATTGACAGAAACAAAGAGGCACTAACCTGTGCGGGAGACTGAAAATGAGTGGTTAAGGAGGGATCTTAAATCACTTTTCCACTATAGAACACTTGTTCTCCCAATATAACACATCTAGTTGGCCATACACAGTCTACAGAGAAGTCTGACATACTTTCACGATAGGAAAGCTAAATTAAGAGTCTAGGAATTGTACTTCACAACACCCATGTATCTTTCAACTCAAAGATACAGACCAAAGCCATCTAAGATTGAAGAACTTCCAGTCTAAACCTACTCAATATACAAAATGCACATACTGCAAAACCTGGCCAAAAAAAAAAAATACCAAAGGCTTTAAAGAATATATTTTTTGAATAAATGTATATTGTAATACATTATGGTAGGCCTCCACTTGGCAAGGAATTCACACTATTGTGTTTGATAAATAGTTGAAGCCACCTGATTTCATACATTAGAAAAGGAGGAAAGAACACACACCCTGTGTTAGTACTTGGATGGAATACCATCGCAGCACAAGTATGGGCCGAAGAAAGACTTTAGCTCTGAGCAGCTTAGGTCTGTTCTTTTAAAATAAGTCATTAAAAAAAAAAAAACTGTTTATAAAAAAAATTGTTATCTATTCTTAAAATTACGGTTGTATTTCTTAGCAATTTTATCTGCTCTCAATAATATTGTCTATAGAATGTCAACAGCTCAGCAGTCATTCAGTCTGCATTAACTTCGTTACAGAATGAAAGTCTGAGTACAGAACAGAGTTCGGTATAGATTTTTCGATCTTTGTCCCTATAAAAAAAAAGTTACATTAGTACAGGCTCCTCATTTCTGTAAAAAGCCGTAAGCAACCAATAAAGCTATTTATAAGGGAAACAACATTAACAAAGTAGCATATAAAGATTATTCTATGCAATAACTTTGCACATATAATATTTCAGTAGAGGAGTGTATTCTTACATCATTCTTTCTTTTGAGAACATAATTCAATTGCTTTGTTAAAAGATGCTGACTGTACTGCAACTTAACTGAAAATTGCTGTTTAAAATAATTACTATCCAGAAAGACTTGAAACTCGTACATAGCTATAGACAACACAGTACTTACATCAAACTGAGCCAAAACAGTTCCAGTGATAAGCCCCTCTGCTAGCTGAATCATGGATTCCCTTAGAGCATTATCATCCTGATGGACACCAAGTGGAGACTTCTCAGGGATGTACTGGAAGTCAGGCTCACTCTCCAGCTTCTCTTCCACAACATCATAGACAGCTACAACAAAGATATGAAGGCTCTAACATGATATGCTGTTTGGTTCGTTCAGTTAACGTTAATAGTAAAGTTACCTATTTAAATAAAAGAAAAATACAAATATTTCTTCTGCAGAAAATCCGTATTTAATGACATGTTGATTTTGATCCCTCAACAAGGGCATGTAGCCTTTAGTGATCATTATAACTCACAACAAAACTATTCCTTGGTTTATTCATCATTTTAAGTGAAAACACATGGCCGACTTAATGAAACTGCTAAATTTTTTTTTTTTTTTTTTTTTTTTTTTTTTTTCAAATCAAAACTCACATCCTTGCCTACCTTGTCTGGTGCAACACCCTAACCTCAGATTCACACGTCACGACTCTGAAGTCACTACAGTTGGGTTTATATTCTTATTTTTCTTTCATTTTGCATTGAGCTATCTTTTTAGGTTTCTTTAATTAGGGGAAGACATACAGATTGCCAGATAAAATGGCGTCAATAGACGCCATTATAATTCTATCAATCCTGTGTGCATGCCCTGCCTATAAATAAATATCAACTCAAAAAATATAATGTGCATCTTCTGCTACATGTAAAAGAAAAAAATGCTGTTTGAAAATCTGTCTTTAAATGAAATCACATGACAATGAAGGATGAAACCGGCAGCTCTCAAATTATAAAATTCAAATGCTTTCATTCAAAATACAAAGATAATTAACACAAAAGGGGATACTGACTTAGTGAATTTGTAAACAAAGTTAACATCATTTTATTTTATATGAATAAAGCATACAAAACCAACAAGACACCTTGCATACACAAATAGAACATAAGTACGTGACTAACACGAATAAGCGAATAAAGGAAAAATCATTTGTGAGCTGGCTGAAGCACCCTACTAATTTCAATTATTCTGATTAAATACTATTTTTCATTCTGCTTTTTGCTGTGTGACTGTATTATGATTGGGATGTGGAGCAGAATTAAACCCAGCAACCATCTGCTGGCAACACTCCAACAGTATATGTCATGAATATATCGCACAAGCTGCTATTTAGACTGCATTTTTAGCACTTTCTTCTACTAAGCATCATCAAGTAGAAACGTTATCAGTAGTTCTGGACTGTTTTAAAAATATATGGAACAATTTTGCATATACTGACTTCTAAAGTCATTCACCGAACCACAGACTAGTTGGGGTCGGAAGGGACCTCTGGAGATCATCTATTCCAGCCCTCCTGCTCAAGCAGGGTCAATTTGGTCACCCAAACATTGTTGGTTTGGGGGAGTTGAAGGAACAACAGCACCATGAGATATTGTGTTCAACATATATCGTTTTCTGGACTTTTTTTTATTAATGGGAGAATAAAATTTAAAACAGCACTCTCTGTTAGAGATACTCAACCTCTGGGTTTCCTACTCATTTTCAACACTTATTTATGCACAGCTCCTCAGAATATGTGGCTGATCAAGATTTGCACAATAGGTTGTCTTGTTGCTGTTTTGCATTCTTTTTCAAGGAAGGGCATTCTTTCTTACAAAGATTGTAAGCATTCTATTTCAGGACACAAAATGAAGGTTAGAAAATGAAGATAAGGGGTGTTTTTTTTTTTTTTTTTTTATGTATAGATCACTCACCATTAGGTCGAACTAGGAGCACAAGTTCCCCTGAGTGTCTCTCACAGCTAGCTTTAATAAACATAACAACTTGATCATGGGTATGTTCTGCTATATCCCTGCCGTTAATCAGTACAACCTGGTCCCCTTCATTCAAACGAGGGACACAGAGATCAGCCTGCAACATAGAAAGAAAAAAAAATCCTGTCAAACAAGCCATCTCCATTTTATCACCTTAAAACAGCAACTTAAAATAACTACACTCAGGGATGTGAATCCTACCAGCCTAGTTGCTATGGTTGCCACATTGTATTCAAATGATAAATTTAAGTGTTGCACAAAACTGGAGACAGTGCCATTCATATGAACACATCAATTTGCAACTGGCAGGGAACTGTCATTGTGATGCGTCTTTCTGCAGCTGTTACTTCACACCACCGGCTGAAGCTGAAAGCTTGGCTGAGGTCCTCTGCTTGAATTAGATTTTGTATAGGCAATTAAAAAGCAGGGTGCTCTCATCTTTGAGGGGAATGGAATAACATGACTAAGCCTTGTCCAAATCAATTTCACAGGCTTAAACGCTTCAAGTACCACATATCACAACTGTCGTGACAAGAGTAAGACGACAAGGATCAAAGAAAAATGCGCAAATCCAAGTAATACAAGAAAGAAGAATCAGTAAATAAAAATAATTATTATATCGTACTCCAACCAGCGTTGCAGATACAGAAGAACACGTGCCATCACCAAGTATCTTCTCCTTGGAGGCTGGCAGTTTAAGGCATTCAGCCAAAATTACTTATGTTAGAAAACACATTAGAGGAAATAATTAACAGGGCAAAGAACAACGGCGTCCACACACATTTCAATAGTTCTACCTAGAAAAAAAAATGCTGTATTTCCTAATGTCAGCAACCAAATGGTTCACTCAACTCTCTTCTAAAAGGTGCAAATAGACCTGACCTCAGCCAGCTTAATACCAGGTCAGTATTTTTGGCAATCAATGCCAAAATATTGTGCCTCATCTGAAGACATTATTGATAGTCACTAAGCACCAATAACAACAGACAGTCAGATCTGATGAATGATTCATGATGTCTGATTTTAATCTAAATCTTGGCTTTATTCAGCTACATCTGTCATTAATACAAGAGGGATTTGCCATTTTGGTTTTTTTTTTTTTTTTTTAAACAGAATACAGTTCAATACATAAATTATGTGAAAAGATACGAGTGCCTCTATTTAAAAAAGTAATGAAGTGAATGCTTTTTTTTTTTAGGATAAAACAGCTCAAGAAACAGTGCGTACTGAACATCATAACTCCTTGTAACTTTCAGGAATTTAATCCTTTTTCAGTAAGAAAGAGATATTTTTGATGACTGAAGAACTACTTCTGTGTTATACAGCCCCATCAAAACCTTAGTGCAAGTAATTTGCATTGCTAGAAGATTAGCGCAAGCTTATTTTCACGGACAGCTCAGAAATAGTTATCAATTTTGAACACATACTTCAAAATACACAGAAATTGATTCCTATATACATACACATATTTTTTGACAACTTACAGGTGTTCCTGGAGCTACCCTCGACACTATAACTGGCATCTTCTGATCATATCCACCCTTTAAAAATAAATTAAATTAGTCATAGATCATAAGTGTCAGAAACAATCTTTACAGACAGGAAGAGAACAGATGCATTATTACCTTTACATTGAAGCCAAACCTTCCATTTTCATCTGGTTTCATTTTGATCATAACAAGATTGTCATGGGGGACACCCCCATTGGGCTAGTAAAAAGAAAAGAAAAAAGTATATTATATTTATACATGATCTGTTTGTAGTTACTATAGACTCCGAGAATATTATATACAATAATCTTTCAATTTCCTCACCAAATAATTGATAGTGGGGACTGGAGAAAGCATCAAGTAACAACGCAAACTGCTTTACTTACCTTGAGTGAGAAGGAAAAAGAATTATGCACTTAAAGCCTTGGGCATAATTAAGTTAAAAGTGTGTTCTTTCAGCAGCAAGCTCAAAGAAAGAAAAAGAGTCATAGAAAAGACTATTTGGCTTCAAGCAGCGTTAGGAGGAACAGAGTTTACTAAACGGCAACATTCTAGACTTCTCGAGACAGCAGCAGAAGGCCTGCAATAAAAACGCCTGCAATAGGAATGCACCATGATAAAAAAGTAAGGTATACTTTTGTTTCTAGTAATAGCAGTATGATGATAATAAACAGGGGCAAATTCAGCAGCAAAACCTTAGTTCCATACCCCCAACCCTCAAAGCAGAAGAGTCATGCAGAAGGGCAGAAAAATTCAAATATATCAAAGCAAAGCACCTCCATTCCTGTAGAGTAAGAAAATTCAAATTATCAATAGGTAAAAGAAATTACTAAATTTAGCTCCTAACAGCTGGAAGAAAACACAAAAGCTAACTCATTTCTGGGTATTTTAAGCTCTTGATTAAATCAAAACAAAAAACCCTCAATGCATTCATAGTAATGAAAAGATGAAAAACTAGAGAAAGGAGAGGGGAGTAGGAGCACAAGATAGGCTAATGAGAAGGAAGGGTGCTCAAGAACTCCCAAAATATGCCAATCATTTTAGCCCCCAGCCATTGGCACAGGAGACTGGACTCTGGTTCCTGGAGAACCAGATAACTTGGAGAATGAACACCACCAACCAAGGGCTCACTTGCAGAGTGTCATACGCTTCCTGTCATGTCGTTCCTCAGGTGAAAAGGGAATAATGTTTTCCCACTTTAACAGTCATTTTGAAGAACAGCTTACAGTGGAAAATCCTCAAGAGAGCCCTGCATTTCATCAATAACTCATCTGACTCTGGGGACTCCTGGCTAGACTTGTTTTCAACTACTTCTGAAGTGGACGTTCTCAGACTGGATACTTGAGGACTGTAGATGGAGTAAAAGCTGTTTTTCCCGTACCTGCCCTGCTACTACTCAAAATAGACTCTCTGCCCATATAACAGACAAAGGAAATTAGACAGCTTAACAAAGCCAAAAAGCCGAAGAGTCTTCCTTAAAATATTTGAGATGGAGCAGCAAAAGAAATTCTAGATTGTTGTAAAAGACTCCTATGTTTGTAATTCCAGCAAATTTAAGAGTCATACTGCTTTCCTTCTTCTCTAGTACCCAAAATAAAAAGCAATTAGCAGACCAAATTAGATCTTCAATTACAACAGCACACTGCCTTCAGTGCGGCTCCATAAATGCAACTCATTGGACCACAGCAAACAATCACACTGACAACACACATGGAAAAAACTAGCTCATTCTCAAACAGCTGTGTTGGTTTTGCAGAACTAAAAGGAGTTAAAAAAACCAACTGAAAGTTATTTTTATCATTTCAGTATAGATGAAGCCGAGCAGAAAGATTTGGTGAGTAAGGTAGTGTTATTTTTCAGAACAGCATAGAACTTAATATGACTCAGGTAAGCACTAACACAAGACAAAGGTGTTAAAAATTCTATTTCAATATTTAATTTATTACAGCATCGCCAAAATGCTCATAAATTACAAGTTTCACTTTTGTGTGTTTACTAAACCCCCACATAAGGAATTAAATAGTTTTATACAAATCTTAACTTTACCACGAGGCTTGAGAGAACATCATAGGCTTGGAGTTCAGAACGCAAATAAAAATAACCCCAAGGCATTTCTAAAACATCAATTTGGGGAGTGTGACTCAACTTGAAGTGCTTGAGGCGTTTTCCCATCCCACAAAAATGTTTCTTGCCCCATGTCAGTATAAAACCAAGAATCATTTGAAAACGTTTGTAGGGATAAAAACCACAAAATTAATCCGTTAGATCTCACCCCTGAGAGACAATAATCAATTGACTAGCTTACTCATCTAGGACACACTCAAACGTGGAAAGGAACTTTTGCTTAGATCTTACATGCCTCATCGTAAGCCTCTTGGGAGCGTCTCCTTCTTGGAAATTCTGATTGAAGACTCTACGACAAATTCAAGAAACCTTTCCTGACACAACTGCTATAAAAGCTGATAGGCACGAGTTTCAGGTTTAGGTTCAGCTTTTTGAAAGAAGCTAAACTAAATACATTTTTTCAGATCAGCACTAATATCTACAATGTCTTCTTTACAACCGATGGTGAATGACTTCTCAGATAAGAGGTTAGTTAGAAATCTCTGCAAGCACTGAAAAGCCAACTGAACACTGTAAAGAATCCTAAAGGATTGTAAGGACATCCCTAAAATGTTTTGTATACCCATCCCAATGCAGTATCATGACAACAGACATAGGATTACTCCTGAAGGTGGGAAAAATAGCGGGAGCTAGCAAAAAGATGATAGGTATTAAGGGAAATGCTGCAATGCAATGCACAGACACGAAAACTCCCTAAAAGTATCAGAATCGAGCTTGAGAGAGGAGGATTATCATCCAAATAAAAAACAGAACGACTAAGCTAGCTGCAACAACTTACTGTGGATTTTTCAGGCGACACAGGAACATCAAACGTTTCATTAACATGGTTATCCAGTTCTTGCTGTGAGTGTGAATGATGAATTTGGTTCCAACTGTTCCTTTTAAATTGTTTGGGTGGTAATGCAGGAGGCTGCCCATCTATAGGAGTCTCTTGAGATCTAAATGCCAAAATAAAAGCGTGAAGTTGAGCAATAATTAGATATTGACAGTTCTTTCAGGATTCCAAGGACACTAAACAACCTGCTAGAAGAAACCCAGAGCCTGAGGGCTGAATATATGTATGTATTTTTAGAACCTCAAAAATTTATTGTAGTGCAATAGATTGGAAGTGTATGTTTGGAAGTGTTGCTGTTTTCTTCTTGAAAAGCAACAGAACCCGTGAGTTCATTTTCTATGCGTTACTGCTTTTTAAAATGTTTTAAGTACTCTTAACCCACTTTATATTTGAAAATTGTAAAATCTACTGTGTTTATAGTCTTACTAAAATCTTATTTCTGAAACAGGTTTCTCATTATGTATTTCCTAATAAGAAAATCAATTAGCTCACACCTTAAATTAATGCTTGCCATTTAAACCTTAAAAACAAACACAAGCAGCATAACCGAGCATTCCCAGGCTATTTTTTGGCTTTTGATCTGAAAATATATTGATGGAGTGCAAATTCAAGTCAACTCAGATGTCCTGCCACTTATTTAAAAAGCTCATTGGAGATGACAGTGTTAAAATTTCAATTTTTGAATTTAAAAGCATATGCATAAGTTTCGAGATAACTTCATTTTTATTTTTTCTTAAACATTTTATTTTGAAACACATGTAGCTTTAAAACATTTGTCAAGGCGGCTTTTATAGCATTCATTTTTAGTTAAGCTTTAACATCATCACTGAGAACAAAATAGGAAAAACGTATATTTCTGTTTTAGATCTGCAACGCACTGTTCCATAAATTAATAAAATTGTTCTCTGTGTTTACATATAATATGGATAATTTCCTGTATTGCTCCTTTTGGAATAAAAGCTTAACTGTATAATTTGTATTACATAAATACATGATTCACCTTTCACTATAGGCTTTATACTTATTAAGAGGAATGTTTTTAGAGGCCCAAAGGGGCAGTCAGCACGTAGCTCCCACCAAAAGACTCATTATCAAGTAATTTAGCTATTTATGACAACAGACTGTGGATACTAGTGTCAAATTCAAAAATCTCTAAGAATGAAGTTGGAGGTTACAGCTAAATCTAAAGAGAAGCTACCACCAAAAGGGATGGTGCCATTCCTTCCTCCACCCACACCCGTGGCCCTGCCGTGAGCCCCTCGGGCGCTCCTCCCTTGGCTGCTGCAGCTTGCTAACCAAGCAAAAACACGCTGACTTTTTGGAGAAGCCCTACCTTGCTTTATGCCAGTTCAACAACATGTGGCTCAGCACCAGCTCCGTAATTTTAAGGGGAGGAAAGGACATTCCCAGAGGCAGAAGTAGGACCCTGCCTCTTTCGCTTTCAGCAAGTGGTAGGATTAAACTCACATTGTAATGCGCAACGTCCCTCTTAAAATAAAAAATAATAAAAAAGTAAATCACGTGAATTGTCCTACTGAATTGAACCGGTCTAGCCACGGAAAACTGCTAGCAGGGTAAAGGTTCTCAGACAGGGTATTTCACCTTGCTGCACGCTAGAAAACCTCAGGCAAGAGCGCATCAAATCCCATCCTGTGTAATTTGTTTCTATGCAATTAAAGAAAAGCAGGTCCCAGATACATGTCTTCACATAAAAAGGAAAATCTAAATGATATAAAACAAGCCATGAACATCTTCCAAAAAAGCATGATAACGGAGCGCAAAAAGGAACATTTCACTTTGAAAAACGTATACATTTTCCATTAGAGAGAGAGAGAGAACAATACGGTGACTGCCTACATTTGCAAAATGAATTTTAAAGGCAACTATAAATTATTGATTTACAAAGGTTAGCCAGAGCTTTTTAACTCTCTATGTATTTATTCACTCAAGTCTGGCCAGCACAGGTTATTCAGCCTTTTAAGTAAAGGGCAAGATAGCTATCTATTTTCCTGCAACGATAATTCCTGAAAGTTTGAAACTGAATTTAAAAAAAAAAAAGGGGGGGGGGGGGGAAACATGAGTAGAGACACAAAGGAAGTAATTCCAATAAAAGGTAAAAGATGGCATCTTACGTTTGACCAGATGCCTGTACATACATATCAACAAACCCAAATAAATTCCTACGCAACACACAAACCTATACAAAGCGTTTCAAAAGCAACATCAGCGAGCATTTCAGTAGTAGCAGTGAAACTACCTCAATATATTACCATAACGAATTGTGAGAACTAACAATCAAACCTTGGGCAAAAACTTCATTGCTTTATATTTGCCCAGTCAGCTTTGAATTTCCTTACCAAGGCCGAGACAAAGGCAGTGAAAGCAGCCTACTTTGCAGGCAAAGCAGCTCTCTGTTACTGCACCCAGCAATTTACATCATAATAAAATAACACACAAAACCTCATTCTGACAAGCTCTGCGTATTTTTGTTATAAATATCGACCTTCTAGTATATTAAACAGAAGTTTCATAAACATACTCTTAAGTTTATTAAGCTAAACATACATCATGCACTTTTGGAATTTAAGGTTATAATTACCTCAGTAAACTACACGAAGGAATATCTCAATTTACTTTCAAATAGTACACGCAGATGAAGACAAAAATGCAGAATTAAAGACTGCATTATCTAGGCTGCAATATCCTTCAAAAATTAGTGTTTCTACGCAATTTAATTATGATTATTATTATTATATAATATATAATTTTTTTATATTACGATTTTATATATATATATATTTTACTACATTGAGTCCATACTTAAAGAGATTACTAAACCTACAACCTATCAGGCTAGCCACCTTACTTCCTTACATAAACAAACTTAATCCGTAAACACAAATTTCAATAACTTAGCAGAGGGATTCTGAAGTCTCCTACTCACAAACTGCTTACTCAAACTTTCCCCCTCAGAAAGCTCATAACGTTTAAGAAACTGTTTTTTGCGCTATAAAACAACGTAACTTGAAGCTACGTAACTAATACAGACTTTATGACTCTACTTTTTGCTTTCATCAATCTCAAATCTTGAATCAATAACATATCGTCTGAAATGTTCAGAAGACCCTCAACCCATGTGACGCGCATATGTTTTTGATAGTCAATATCCTCACTCTTAAAAATATGTTAGATACCTATACTGGGAGCCTAACTTCCACTTTTAACCTTCCTACGAGGGAAAAATAAAACTTAGGGACAGAAGAGCAATAGCTTTTCTTCTTGACAATGGAAAAGTGCAAAATCACAAAAAAACACCACCCATTGCAGCATAACTAATTTGCCAAACCACTTCCTCTCTTTTCAAGATTCATTTCCATGGTGACTTATACAAGAAATCGGGTAGTTAATAAACAAGCCCAAATGACAGTCAGGAACATCTGACTGTTTTATTGAAATAGTAATTGAGAGTAAAGGCATATGAATAGAAGGGAAAGCACTTAAGAACTGTATCACTCTACTCTTCAGGAGGTGCTTCTCCTAACTAGCTTCAATGGCTTTGGAATAGAAAGAGCCTGACTCTCCGCAGCCTTAGAACAGTAAAATTCAAATATGAAAAAACATTCACAAGTGTTTGGGTTTTGAGACTCCCTTGCCATGTGAATAGGTTAAAAGAGCCCACAAAGAAAAGGAATTTTGTATTATCAAGTAAAAGACCGACTTTAACACTGAAAGTTAAATAACTATCTGATAGTCAAGTTGCAACTATTGTATTTTATTAAAAAAGCATATTGTGTTATTTTACAAAACTTAAAAATAGTTGTTTTTCCCATGAACAATTCTGCATATTTGAAAAAAAAAGATAGAAACGGTTCAAGCAACGTTTTGAAACCGTGTCCAAATACCTTCCCAGTATAATTTTTCCTGAGACACACACCTGTGTTTATAAACATGTAATTAAGTGTTATTTTATAGACCTTAACTGGAAACTATTTGCACAATTTTCTTGCTTGCAGGGATCAAATAAAATTATGAGGATAGGTATAGTATTATATGTATATATGAAAGGTATAGTAGAAATGTTAATAAGATGTGCATATAGTGCGCCTTTTTTCCAAATCATCTGTACTACAGCCACTAGTTACTTTTTGAATATTTTGGATCTTTGAAAAACTCACTTTTTTTTTCTTTGGAAATAAACGTGCTTTCTCACAAGCAGAGAATTCTTCTACGAGGAGCTTTCATTTGCATTCCTCTAAAATAATTAATTTTGATTTTAAACCAATATACAATCTGTTAGATGGCAACTACGTAAAGCAAGAAGAGTGCTGCAAGGAGAAAGGAAGATTTCTGTAATTTACATCTACAAAAGCTATGCTATCCTTCTGAACTTAATATATAATACTATTTTCCATTTTGCCCACCATAGCACTGGTAGACTCACAGTACTAGAATTTTTTTCTGTTAAGTTGAATATTTAAAAGTGCTATCTCAAAAAAATAAATAAATAAAATCAAAGATACCATTCTATAACTCAATTCAAAGCATGCAAAGAACCTCAGAAAGCTGGGGTACTAAAAAGGCATTTTCACTATAAAGTAATTTGCATAGCTCACTTGTACTTCTGTGCCTTGACAAAAAGCAAAATTCCCGAATTCATGGGAATTAAAAACCTGTATCACAAAACAACTTACTGAAGTTTTACCAAAAAATAACATTTGCATCCACATCCAGCCAGCGATGGACATACTACAGTTGACGAAAATGAATAGGCATCCTGCACCAGGAGCGTGTTATATATAGGCCTTTACTCCAGCATCACTTAATTTTTAGTAAGGCCTGTACTAATGCTCCTTAAACAACAGCTACTTGTTTGCTGGATTTTATGCTTATGGCTCTTCCCCACCCAAACATTTAGACTTAAATTCTTTAAGGCTAAGATTTCTGACTTAGCTTCAGAAACCCTGCACACTACCATATATAATATTAATCAACAGCACTTACGGTGATGATTCCAGTATTATGCTATTAGCCTGGGTGGAAGATGGAGATCTGTGATTCACAAATACTTCACTTGGTGAAGCGTGAACTACATGGTCCACTAAATGTCCAACCGATGAGGGTCGTAAACGGGCTCCTTCTTGAGTGAAGGCAGAGTTGCGACTAAAAGGGAAAGCATAGCTATGCAGTGTGAAAAAAGTCTCATTATTGATATACATTTCTTACACTACTACAAAGGCATACTAAAAATAATGATTTTCCCTCAGTACAGGCATATGTCCACATACATAGCTTTATTAAATAATTTACGCAAAGACTAATTCTATTTGAGTGACTCTTTCTTCAAAGAATCTGCACTTTAGGATTTCAAAAAAATCACTAAAACAATTATGTTGCCAAACGAACGTGCTATGCTTCATAATTTTCTTCTTGAAAGGGTCTACAATTTATCTTCTTAACTACACGGCTAGTATTTTTCAAATTGGTTCTTTTTTAAAAACCCTGGAAGCAATATTGTCCATTGAACAGATTACCGGACTACCAGTGAGACTGAGTCAATGAGATGAAAAATCCTGGCTCTATTAAGTCGCGACAGAACTGAAGCTGGATTCGGTCAGATCAACATCTCATCCCTAGCACCTGCTCCTAGAACAATCACAACCACCACTCTTAGAGCCTTTCCATTTCTGTGACCCAATTCCCCCATTTGAATGGGGCATGTTTGTCAGCACAGTGACACATGTATTATTCTTAAAATGCTTTGAAGCTTGCATGACTTTTTCTGTTAAGGTATAAGCATCATCATTTCACTCTATTTTTAATCATTTTAAAGTGCTATGGATGCTTATAACAACATTCTTTTGAATAATATGCTGCAATGCCCAAAAATCTTAAAACCTTATGATTTATGCAATATAAAATTGGATAATACTGATTCTAAACCAGTTTCAGCAAACCGGGAAAATTGATTATTTTCCGAAAGAAATTAGGAATGATTTCTCACTAACAATAAACACATCCAAAAGCTTTATCATGTGATAAGTGGGAGCTTTGAAAGGAATAAAATGTAGAAAAACTGAGGGGGATAAACCTGCAAGGATTTCCGATTAAATAATTTTCTCCAGTGTTTACAAAAAGTAGTACTCTATGGATAAAGTATCCAGAATCATTGCTTCTAAAATATTACACAGATTTTAGTTTTCTTTTTCCTCTCAGCCAAATGAATAATTTAATTTTATCTATGCTGTAGAAAACTCAAAGCAATTCTCAAATTCATGATAAAAGTGTAACATCTTACACTTTATATAGGCTGAACAAGAAGCACCTAGAAAGAAAATTCACCCTCAAATAGTTGATCTCATGAGAAGGTAAATGTTCCAGCAAGCTAATCTGCAGATATTTTTGAAGTTTGTCTCCGTAACGCTTTTTTTTTTTTTTTTTTTTTTTTAAAATCAAAAAAAGGAGTCTTTTTTTTTTCGGACACAA